GTCTACTGTTGTAGGCTTACCCCCCCCCCCCCCCCCAACACACTGGCCCTCGCTCCTGTGCGGCAATATGTCTCGGCGGTTGGTGATGCAGCGAGTCTTACTCATTCCGGGGATCGGGATTTAGGCCCTATACACACTCTAAGCCAGCTGCCACGATAAGGTCGGAGCAACATGAGGGAAGGTGGCTAAAACCTGATGGCATCGCTGCGGCCAATCTCGAGAGGGAGGAACGTGTGGAGGACACCGGAAAAGCAACAGGAACATAAAGTCCGCCACAGAGAGCGGATCGTATGAATTGTAGTCTGGAACTGGATTGCCGCAGGACACGAAAACATGGCAAAGTTGCGGTTCATTCGCCGGGGTACAGTTTGAAATGGTAAAAGCCTTGATACATGACCTATCTTTGTATCCCGCAGAAATGATGATTCTCTGTCGGCCATTCGAAGGACTGCATGGTACCCATCTTTCGATCCCGAAAAACTTTCGAGTGTGGTTCAATTGTTACGTGCTGACAGACAGTGACAAATGGAAGTGAGCCCAACTGTAAAGCACTTCAGTACAATACTACAGATCCATTATTATTCTGCGCCATTTATAATTATTTTTGCACAAAGCTGAGTGGACTATGCAACATCTGGTTACCAAATCAAGGCATACGGTCCTGTATTTGTCAACATTTTAAGACACTGACCCATGTTTGATTTTTTAAAAAAATAAACAAATAAAAGCCTGTTGAAAAGAACCAAACTGTATTTCTTGGATCATAAATCGCTTGAGTAAGTACAGCTCGCCGATACCGCTGTCATGCTCCCCACAGTCCCTTGAAATGAACGCGGTAACAATACACAGATTGTTACAAAAAGAAATAAATAAAAATGCACCCACACGTATGCACAAACACACGCACACCCAACTAGCATCCGCCATCTGGCCTTCCGAGGGGCTCAGATATCTCTGGTGTGTGTGTGTGTGGGTGTGTGTGTGTGTGTGAGCGTGCATATGCATGCGGAGTTTTGAAGTGTTGCACAAACCACCAGGGTGAGTGAGGAGTTACAGTTCACGTCAAATTTTTTTTTTGAAGTGAAAAATGATATTGTGATGAAACCAATCTGCACTCACGCCATTAGCGCAGCTTCACAGCACCCGTCTATGAGGGCAGTACTTTTTACACAACGGCCATCATATTTAGAATGCCGCAGGTACACAAGAAGCAAGCGGGGGAGGGGGGGGGGTCGGCGCCGGGCTTTGCCACGGCCCGCATGGCCGCCTGAGCGCAGCGGAACACCGGCGGTCTTTTCACTTTGAGCAAAATAAGGTTCCATTACGGAACGAGGCCATGTCGGCTGCCCCTGCTCACCGTAATGGCAGGCAACTAACTGTACGTGAGGCACGCAGCGGTACAAAACGGGAGGAAAATGGAATTCTGCATGAGGTGGTCTCAGCAGTGACGCACGCCTGTGGGGAAAATAAACGTGTGTCTTTTGAGCGAGACCACCTGAAGCGGAAAGAACAGTTCAGTGAGATGCTGAACTTCATTTTAATCCGGTAACGAAGGACTCATCCCGGTGCTCTCATGGATTCAGCTCAACGGGTCTGATTTTTTTGTTGTTGTTTTGTTTTTTTACACAGCTAGTAAATTCATACATAAAGCAGTCATTTGAGAATGAGGGATTCGATGGTTCGTCCACCAGTTCAAACCAATCCAGCTTCAATATATTAACGACATTCAGGACATCTGGGCAACTATTTTCCACATCCCAATAATTCCCACATTTTGAAAATCCACACCACTCATGTTAAAAGTCTCAAATTTTCACAATGAAATCCTCAAATTGAAAGCGAATTGGATCCATTTAGCTTTTCCTTCCACATTTCTTGCCTGATTCCAACGTCAGGGTCATTCATTGTCAAGTGGATTTGGATTTGAATGAAATTTGCTGCACTTGTTGATAATGATTGAACAACACAAAATCTAAAATTTTCGGTCAATCGAAGCAGGGATTTCGGGAGCTACGACCCTCCGAATTTCGAAATTGTCGGCAACAGGGGCGTGGCCGCCTTCATTTGAACACTTATATCTCAAGAACTATTCAGTCAAACTTAACAAAACAGGTATTGTTGGAAAAGGGGATTCAACAGAGATTCCAAATCTGTTCACTTGACCTTTTGATGATTTGACCTTGTGGATCATGTGACCAGAACTACATTTGTCATGATATGTATCTCACACACAAAAGTATGTTGCCGTCTAGAGAGAGCCAACTTGGAATCAGTTCTGGTAAAATAAGCCACATGAACGCAGACCTCCGTAAAAGGAACTTCCGTTTGTAACACATCATTCCGAGGGACCGGTTGCGGCTCCTTACCAAACGTTCTGCTACCCAAGTAAATCGGCATCTTAGCTTCGCCATTGATGTCGGATAAGAGAAATCCCGTAATTATACAGTCTTGCTGAATTTCTGCTTGTTTGTCAAACACGCATCCAGCCTTTCTGAAACTCCCATGACCCCCGCCCTCTTCCCGCCGGCCCCTTGCTTGCTTGTCTCACTTTCCACACCCAGTCTACCGCTGTACCATATCCCTGGTCCTTCCCCCAAGCCTTTGGTTCCAGGCCGTTAAATGGGCAGGTTTATTTAAGCCTAATTGGTTTAAGGGCAAACAGAAACAAGCAACGGAGAATTACGACCGTGTCGGGCGAGAACCACACACCATAGAGTGAGTGTGAGCAGGAGGAAGACGTGGGGGTTGGGGAATGGGGTGGGGTGGGGTTTGAGGAAATTGGGGGTGACTGAGTGGGAGAGGGAAAGGCACCAAGGAGATGAATAAGGAGGATACACCAATGCAGATTTTTTCACACTTTTGTATGAATGCCACCCAATAGGGATTGAACGGCAATGTTAATTAAAATTCTCAAAGTGAAATTTAGAAATGTGTGCAGAGTAGTCAGTTTAAGGCCCAATAGATTAGTGCGAGTGATCATAGAACTTTTCAATGCTACGCCCACACGCAGATGCAGGCACACATGCCCCCATTAAAAAAAAAAAAGATGAAAAGAGCAACAGATTGGAGTTCAGATCAGATTTGAACCTGCCCATGGAACAAGCTCGTTTCAATTAGCGACCCAAACAAGGAAATAGCTTTCATCCTTGTTACCGGGGTAACCCCGGGAGCCCCGTCCCTCCCCATCTGTTTCCCAACCTCACCACCTTTTGAAATAGACAACACGCAACCCCTTTTTGCACAGCCTGCACTAATCTGAATAGCATAACTGACCCGTCGCTTCCTCAACTGCATGCAAAGTTGGCAAGCGCGGACACAGAAGCCGCAGTGGAAAGAATTAGACAGTTGGGATCAGATCGTTATTTGTCTTGCTGCATGATAAATTCTTATTTTGACTTCAAAATGAAAGAGCAAGTGCACGATAAAATTGAGAGGAGATACTGTGGATGTCTGACCACGGAAGAGTGTCCCAACGGGTCCCGGGGCGGAAATGAAAAACACATTGAAGAGAGGACACATTAGCTTCTTATGGCAACACTATGGCTTCCTGCGCAGATAAGAGTGCGTGTGGGTGTGTGAGTGAGTGAGAGAAATAAAAGAGGGTGGCCGAGATGCAAAGACAGACTGCGCTGTCGATTGTTATGATACTGAGCGGTGACGGGGAAACGTACGGCCCGTGGGCTTTTAATGGCCTTGCGAGAGCATTTGAAACGGCCTAACACACCACACTGAAACAAAACTTCAGAGGATCACAACCCCCATACGTCAAGATCGATTTCAAATCTCGTTATTGGAGAGATGCACACCCCTAAATATATGCCATCCATCTTCGATGTTGCATCCGATACCATCTGACCTTGAGCGAGCGTCAGGGTGCACCCCAGATCAGTCGCAGCCAATCATAGGGCACATATTGACAAACTTTCCACACTAACATTCACACCTATGAACAATTTAGGATGGTCTATGAACCTAACATGAATTGGTGAGATCATGCAAACTATACACAGGATTCAAAGTCTGAACTACAGAATTGTGGGGAAGGTGTGCTATCCACCAATCCATAATCCATAGTTTTAGTATGTATCATATGATCAAATGAAATGAAAAGCCCCCCCTACCTATTTGTTCGGGTAGGTAAATGTTTGTTTTTTTCCCAAATATTGGTGTACGAGCGAGACATCTCTTTGAAACATTTTCAGCAATGATAAATTGTGGTGCATTCAGGATTTCTGAAAAATATCAGCAATTCTAACATTCTTACGGAAAAGGTGGTCATCCCTATGAAAGCAGGTGATTTCCCAAAGGGACGAAGTACACTACAGAGTGGCAAAACGCAGGTGTTTAAGGTACTCTTGAGCAACTGCATTGAAAAAAACGTTTCAAGCATACACTAAAACGAAGCTGCTGTGATCCACGTGGATGACATCCCAGCATCTCCTGCGTCAAAGTGCAGCAGCGAGCACAAAAACATTCCCAAAGTGTCAAATAGAAGTATCCCCACGGACAACCATTCGCATAAACATCTGTTGTGTTTGTGAGTTTGCTTTACCTTCCATTGCTGAACAAGTGATGAGCATCACGCCAAAGAGCGCAAACAAATCCACGCTCATGGCAAAATGTTGGCTCTCCGCCCGCTTGTCCACCCAAATTGCCAACACTCCCGTGGGGTGCGCCTTCAAGGAATCCTTTGTTTATCAACAGCGGGTACTCCAGCAGATAGCCACAGTGTCGGGAGTCACATTTCAAGGCGTAGTAATCAAAGTGTGTCACAAGGACGCTGTGGACAAGTGTTTCAGGTGGAGCAGGCAGCCGGCTGCGAGTGAGGGGAAAGTGGGGTGAGGGACACGCCGGGGAGGCGAGCGGAGACCCCACATTGCCTGCTCAAAACGCTGCTCTCCGCTCTGTAAGCCAATCAACAGCGGCGACCTGAACTCGCTGCCCAATCAAAAGTATGGCTCCGCCCACCCGGTGCTGTCAAAACACCAAACTTCTTTGACCCACTCGAAGCCGTTTCCGTTGACCTGAAAGGAAGTAGCACCCTCATGTGGATATTTTTTGCTACTACATCCACTAATCACCACTCCTGCGTACCGTATATTTCTTTATAAATGCTCCTAAAACTTTTTTTACCCAATTAGTAGCACTTCGACACATTACAATAAAGACCACCATTATTACAATTTTTAAAATACCGTAAAATTGTACGTCAAAGTTTCAAATAAAAAAATAAATAAAAATGAGGGAATGAAACGACTGATTCTGTATGCAAAGTGCTGATGTGAAGGGAGCAATCAATAGAAAAGAAGATTTAGTTATCATTATTATTATTATTATATGAGTGCGAAGTAGATAGGATGATCGGAGTGGCACTTTTATGTTTGGTACAGTGCTGATACATCGGTGGCTGTTGTATCGGGAGGAACCCCACACAGTCACAGGGAGAACATGTAAACCCTACATATGAGTCAATATTGGAACCCAGAGCTCTTGACTGTGTGAAAAATTATTGTTGTTAATTCTGTTGGAGTGTGTGATGATGGAGTGGGGGAAAGAAGTACATGGCAGATAGTTTGTGGTATTTTATTTTCATTCCACAATGACTGTATAATGCGTTCACCCACCATTTCCACCTTGTTTTACAGATTTCCAATTATGAAGTCGCCCACTTCCTCTTGCATAAATTTCCCATGTTCCCAGAATGCCCCTTAATAGCTTTGGTAAATTAAACCGCTCCTCCAAATGATATTAAACAGCCACTGAACATTATTTCCACCTCTTCGCCCCTTTTTCACTTTTGTTTTTTTTTTTTTGTAAGCATGCACGACTGTACAGATGGTGCATTTAATTGACTTTTTTTTCCCCCCCTGCAGGGACAGAGTACCAGGGTATCACAAAAAGGTGGCCTTTGTCGTCCTGTAATCCATAACACAAACACGTCTCCTGGTCTGCAGGATGTGTTGGTGTGAGATGTATTTTTACCTGCGGCTTCTCAAACTTTGACATTAACTACCACCTCAAAAAAACCCTCCAAAAAAATCTCTTTAAGTACTATACCAAAGTATGTGTACTTTTTTTTTTTTTTTTTTTTTACTTCCCTCCACCGGTGTATAGAGATGATATTGTGCATTGTGCAACATGACAGATCACAGCTTGGCCACTTTGTGCTGTTTTTGACATTGCCCCGTAATAGCCATCTGGCCTTATTTTGTCCGAAACCAGTAGTCATCATGACATCCCCGTGTCATCGCCAACAGGAGCAGCACACAGCAATCTGTTCCTGTTTGCTGTCCACGCCCCAGGGGGCGAAGAGAAAGGAAGAGCACGCAGAAGGTAAGAACAATAACGTCGCTTCCGTTCGCGCGTCCTCATGTACGACACAGACAGATGTGCATACGCAATAACACAAACAGTGCAGTTTGTCGCCCACTAAAACAAGCGCATGGACTTAGTGAGCTCAGTCGCAATAGTGCGCGCGGCCTCCCTGCTCTGTTTTAATTTCTTCCGGGACGGATTCAGAACAAAAAGGACAAGGGCGTTTATTAAAAATGGGAATTTGGCGCCTCGAATGTGATTATATGTTGTATTTGTGTTTATTCACCCTCAGCATCTTGTGAGCTGACCTCACATTTATTGCACTCTTGACCTTAAACGGGCAGCCATCCTCTCCTTCTGCATGACCGCCGCTCATTGACCTTTAGTTTGGCATGGAGCTGTGATTTGCGGTCAGACTCGGACAGAAAATATAAATGTCGCACAACGAATGCCGTTTTGTGATGTACTTTAAAGGGGAAGTCAAACCAAAAATGTTCTTTACAATGATATGTTCCATGCGGCCCCACTCGTCTTCAACGCGGTGCTCTGATTACGATTGCGTTTGTGGAATATGAATTGGGCAGCAAACTCCACCCGTTGTCCATCGCAGGGGTGGGCCATTTTGTCACTTGCTGTCGACTGAAAATGACATCACAGTGTCCAAGGGCTCAAGCTGGCTAACAAATTTGAGATTCACCACGCTCCCGCGTCTTGCCACCCTGCTTCCCTGCACTTCGGTTCTCAACCACCCAAAACGGTAATGATTTCCACACTCATGACTGTAAATGGATTGTGGAGAATATTTTGAATGTTGCAATGGTTTGAATCGGTCAAGAAATGTCAAACTTGCAGGGAATTGGGTCAACTGTCTTTTCGATGCTGGAATTGTGTGGAAAATGTGGGAATTTTCCTGTGACAAATGTAAAATTTTGGTGGAAATGTAAGAATTTGTGTGCAAACTGCAAAATGGTTCAGTACGAGCTGGACAGGTAGAATTTGGAATGGGAACAATGAGATGCTTTTTCCTCCCCAAATATTTTTTTTAATGGTGTAGATTACATGATTCCGGCAATGAACAAGCGAAATGTCAGCGTGAGAAAAAATACACAAATGCACCAACAAGGCAAAGGGAAAACAGATGGTTCCAATTGTGGCTCAACCACACACAAGTGCTCTGATACAAGAAATGAAAATGAAAAGCCAGAGATAGTGCAGGGACCCTTGTGGCAGAGGAGTGCACTACTGTTCCAAGCCTGTTGGGATGCCTGGCCTGGTTTTTATTGGGCATTGGCTTCATCCATCTTCACGAGTCTGGCCACTGGCCATTGACAGTATGAGTAGAGAGCAAAGGATGAATACAGATTTGCTGTGGACCCATGTTACTCAAATAGAAGGTCAGGACTCAGCAGTGCGCCGTGCTTTGCATTTTTTTGGGTCACGACTCAAGAGAGGCTGCAGGAAATAAGTTCATTATGGTGGATGCGTGGAGCATATTTGAAATATTCCAAACCCAGCATGAGGCGAGGCTGTTCAAACTCGAACTCATTTTTTTTTCCACATTTGTTTGCAATGGACAAGAAATGTCCATATATGCTTTTCCAAGCTGTTGTAGATTTAAAAGATTGTAAAAAGTTTGCTGCGTGTGAAGTGAACTCGGCAAGAATAGTAATCCATCAAATGTGAACTCAAATGTTTTGGAATGTATTCTTTGTCTGACATTAATAAATGGATGACTAATTCCCCTATGATTACTATATATATATACACACACACACACACACACACACACACACACACACACACAGTATATTATGGACACACATACATACATCCAATTTCCCTATAATTATCGTTACTTTAAGTTAGTTTTGTAAGCGTGAAATGTGCTTCAGTTAATTTTCACTTTCTAGAAAGCATTTTGTTGGGGTGACAAAAAAAACTTTTTTTCAATTTTAATTTTAGATATTTTGTCACGGGCGGCACGGTGTTCGACTGGTTAGCACGTCCGCCTTACAATGCAGAGGTGCAGGGTTCGATTCTGGCTCCAGCCTACCTGTGTGCAGTTTCCAGGTTGTAGCCTGTGCCTGCGTGGGTTTTCTCCGGGTACTCCGGTTTCCTCCCACATTCCAAAAACATGCATGGCAGGTTAATTGAAGACTCAAAATTGTCCAAGGTATGATTTACTAGTTTTAGGGTGTCCCCCGCCTACTGCCCGAAGACAGCTGGGATAGGCTCCAGCACACCTGCGACCCTTGTGGAGGGTAAGCAAATCCGAAAACGGATGGATGTATATTTTGGCACTTTTCGTTCACGAAAAACTTAGCAGTTGACTCCTGATGTCTCGCTGATAAATAATCCGTCATTCGCTCTAATCACACATGAGGTTATTTAGGGTTATTGTCGCTTCACCTGCTTTGTTTCTGCCAGCGGCGCCATTTAAAAAAAAAAAAAGTTTCCCATTAACCGCACGGCCTGGTGCTCCTTTCGCATTTCAGCGTGTGCCTCCTGCAAACAAAGGGCTTCGACCATGCCAACATTTGACACCAGGCAAATTGTTATTTTTGAATCCATGTTATCATGAGCGGGCCCACCAGAGAGTCTCATAAAGTACATTTTGGAGGTGGACTCGTTAATGAGGAGAAACAAAGCCAACGCTGACAGCTCATCACTTGCTGCTGGCTCCTAGTGACAGGCCATCCCACTCTGTCATCTCCTTGATGCTTTCACAGGGACACTGTGACAACAACATCCCTCTTTCCTACCCCCCCCCCCACCTCTCCCTGCAAAGCTCACATCGACATTGTGGAGCTTTTTCAGCCTTGAGCATACGCAATACATACGGTTCATATGGGTCAAATCCATCTGGCCTTTGTCTGCCATTTACTGATGCCCTGTCATAAGCGGAGTGAGCAGCGCCCAACATATTGGGAATAGAAACGAGAGCAACACTTGGATGTGATCGATGAACACACAGGTGGGGCTGGCGCTTGCTGGAACTGAAGTGAGAGGAAGGAAAGAGTCCTCATCTCAGACAACCACGCAGGCAGTTGTACATGGAACTTTACAGTTCATCACACGACTCAGATTGAAAATAATCTCTTCATTAGATTCATTTTTTGATGGAGCAATGATCCCAAAGCATTGCCCAACGGCTTCAGCATGTGTTAAATGATATCTGGCCACGGCGCACCAATGCACTGATATATATTTATGACAAAGATAATGATCTCCATTCAAGCACAAGAGCAAAACAAACGGCTGGACCTTCTGATATTAACGCTGACCTTTTGGAGACAACTGCAATCCTGGATCAGCAAATCAATAGGTGATACTTGGAGTATAATCGGTCCATCGTAGGCTCACACATCCTAAATGTCACTAACACGCATTGCCATTCAGCACATATGAATAGCAAGCACCATTAATTGCTCCTCAATATTTCCCAAAATGAAACAATAATGCGGAACAAGGGTGAATCCACCCTGAACTGCTTGACAGCCAATCGCGGGGCACATACAAAGACAAACAACATTTCACGCTCACACCCAGGGACAATTTAGAATGTTCCAT